CACCGCGCCCGGCCAACAAGACAGTTTTTTAAATAAACTTATTTTTCTTTTTTTGAGACAGAGTCTTGCTCTGTCGCCCAGGCTGGAATGCAGTGGTACAACCTTGTCTCACTGCAACCTCTGCCTCCAGGGTTCAAGTGATTCTCCCGCCTTCACCTCCTGAGTGACTACAGGCAAGTGTAACCACACGCCTGGCTGATTTTTTGTATTTTTAGTAGAGAGGGGTTTCGCCATGTTGGCTAGGCTGTTCTCCAACTCCTGACCTCAGGTGATCCACCCATTTTGGCCTCCCAAAGTGCTGAGATTACAGGTGTGAGCCACCACGCCTGGCCTAAATAAACACTTTTTTTTTTTTTTAAGAGACCAGGTCTCACTATCAGAATGCAGTGGCTCCCCTATAGCTTCCTGCAGCCCTGAGCTCCTTCCTGGGCTCAAAAGATTCTCCTGCCTCTGCCTCCTAGGTAGCTGGAACTACAAAGCACACCCCCAACACATTAATATTTTTTTTTTTTTTAAAGAAACGGATCATACTATGTTACCTAGCTGGTCTAGAAATCCTGGCATGAAATGATCCTCACATCTCAAGACTTCTGAGTAGCCAGTGATTACAGGCACGAGTCACTAATTAACTTTAAATGCTTAATCCGACATCTCCCTTTTTTCACTTCACTACAAGGAAGCAATGACATCTTGTATGTTTACATTTTAAATAAGCTCTCAATCAGCTTTGTAAGGTAAACTCCCATTTACCTAGAGGTTAAGGAATAAGTATTTTCCTTAACCTGAAGGTTAAGGTTCTGGTTAACTGAGATTACTACATATTCACAATTCTATAAAATTGTGTATTGGAAGTCAATTTAGGTATCAATGCTGAAGTCAGAAAAGGATTTGTACCTTGGTGAATTTTTAGAATTTTCTTATGTTTTAAAATCATGTTACTTTTCAAAAGCGTAAGGAAAAATCTGTAGGAGATTCATTCCATGACATTGTCTGTTGGTTGCTTTTTGAGTATATTTTCTCATGGCTTCATCTATCTTACTCATAAGACTAAATGGGGAGACAGACTTCCTGGCTGTGTGGGCTCTGTGCTAGTCTGAAGTCTAGATAAGCAGGAGTTTACAGTCCAAGACCCAATACTTAAACTGTCACCTTGATTACTGGACAAACACCACCAGTAAATAGGAGTCTTCCCTCCCCACCCCCAAATATTCTTAAATACCTAGCTCCAACGTACAATATAATACTCCAGAAACTAAAACATGCTTACCTTTACTCCACAGGAGTAAATCACTGGCAGTATCAACTATTAGGGCACTGGATAAATACACACAAGCTATGAAAGCAGGCTATGGAGTCAATCTTCCTGTGGTGAGCATTGTTTCCAACACATAGATCAGCAAACCAAGTAACAAACATGTTGTATTACCTGAAACCATACTGTTGGAAGTGAAGCAAAAGAAAGAGATCCCACGCTTTCAGCATCCAGTTCAGTGCCCTATCTACTAAAACGTTGAAGCAGAACTGAAGTCAAATCAAGCTTGGACTAACACAAGTTATGTTTCACTCCATTTGTAAATGTGCACACACTTGAGGTACACAGCTTCAAGTGGAATGGAAAAAAAAGTTATTACTCTATTCCTTTTTAAATGCTTTTCAAGCATGGCATGTATTATCACTTGAAGGCTAAAACTAATCACATCCTTCATGTTGGCCATAAATGACACACCGAAATAGTATACTCAAAATGTTCTCGTATTAGGGCAGCCTTACCCTAATATTATGTGTTAGGACGATGGCAGAGTACCCAGGAAATATTAAAAACATACACTGAGTTTGTAGAAGGGGTCGCATGGCTTGAAGGGGTCGCATGGCTTAAGGGGAAAAAAACCCAGATTTAAGGCAAAGTATGTGATCTCAAAAACTACCACTGAAAAACTTCAATGACATTCTCTAATCCCAAACTTAAAAAAGCAGATGATTTAGTATCTTTCATAATAGATGAAAATTTACAATGAAAAGTACTTAATACTCCTCCCCTAAACGTTCATCTAAAGATCTGGGGGCATCAATTTCTGGAATTTTTAACTCAGGAAATTTGTCAAAGGCTCCCAAGAATGCTAACACTGAGACCAATCTACTCAGGGTCTCAACTTTACTACATACAGTAAACCCAACTCTACTGAATCAAAGACCAGTAAATTTGGCATGAGACTACTCTAAAAGCGATTATTTTACAAACCAAACAATGTTCAGATTGCCGCAGAAGCCTAAGGTATAAGACCATAATTTCAAACATTTAAAGCAAAAACAAGAGCCTAGTCTTTTATAATTAGACAGGCGACAATCTACCGCAGGATTCACAAAATTCCCAAATGGGAAGAATCACACTTGGGCTCATTATACACTAACCGTTAATAGGACCAGATCTACTGTCCTGTTATTAAAGAAGTATTGCTGGACTTTAGCTGATAGGTGAATGGGGGGACTTTTTTGCTTCCTACCCAATCCAACGCAGGAAAGTCTATGTACCTACCTTGTAAAACTATCTCAAAGTTAACGCAACATTGTAGTTTCCATTGATTTTTAAATTTTAAAAACTCTGCCCTCAGATAGCTTGCTACATGGCATGTATATTTTGCCAGACACTAAGTAATTTTAAAGTACCTACCCCAAATGAACTGCAGCACTGCAGAGAACAGAATGGGTCCACACCACAAAGTAAAATGAGAAATTTCAATGCTTATAAGTAAAAACTACTGACGTTAATGTTGGAAAGAGTAAATCAAAGTGAACTCAGGAGGGCATACTATGGAAATAATTACTGATTCTAAAGTCCCATAGTAAACTGTAGAAACATCCACTAAAGGTGTAACAGGCATGCCTTCCTAAAAATAGCTGTCCATTCTTACATGCAAAAGGAAAAAAACCTATTTCTAAAACCAACTGATTTTTAAAGTATTTTAGGATGAAACTGTAATCACTTTATTCTCAGACTTATAGAAGGAAATGCACACAGAACCGTGTTTAAGAAATTCAATTTGGATACTGTATTAACCAGTCTTATCCTCAATATTAAGGCTATAAAACTGTTGCCCTTTTAATATCCCTCAAAATGGGAGAAAGAGAAAGGGACAGATATGGTGGCAAGCGCAGACACCCAAAAAAAAAAAAAGAGTCTGAAAGTTTTTCATTAAAAAAGAAAGCCTTAATATCTGGAACATGATGGGGCTGCATAATTGCGCAGTTAAGAAAAATCAAGTATTAGATCCCTTAAAAATGAGAACTACATTATTTTTAAGTGTAATTCTAAAATCAACCTGGGTAGGCCGGGTGCAGTGGCTCAGGCCTGTGATTACAGCACTTGGGAGGCCGAGGCGGGCGGATCACCTGAGGTCAGGAGTTCAAGACCAGCCTGACCAACATGAAGAAACCCTGTCTCTACTAAAAATACAAAATTAGCCAGGCGTGGTGGAATATGCCTGTAATCCCAACTACTTGGGACGCTGAGGCAGGAGAATTGCTTGAACCTGGGAGGCAGAGGTTGCGGTGAGCAGAGATCACACCATTGCACTCCAGCCTGGGCAACAAGAGCGAAACTCCGGCTCAAAAATAAAATCAACCTGGGTAATAAAATTCTACACCAATTTTATCTTCAGTAAACGACAGCTGGTCACTATCTAAAATGTTTATTAACTATGAATATAAACATTTCTCCATTTTTCCTGAGATTATTCAAAAAAGTTGTAATATTACATCATTTTAGGTAACAGGACAAGTGTAATTACTTGAAAGAGTCAAAACACTGACCTTCAAATTTAAGTTTATGATCATTTCAAATTACTGGAAACAATTACATGAGATTCAATGTATATAATGGAGTAATGTCAAACACAGTTATAGTTTAATCTTAATTTGCTACTCTTAGCTAGCAGTGAAATCGGGCTGTTAGTGCCCACCACTCACCAAATATAGGGAATAACATTCATCGAAACTGTGACCCCAGTCTTTTGTTTTCTTTTTTTTGCTTTTCCCCTTGCCTGTTTCCCGCCTGCTTTTTCTCCAACGTAAAGCTGGACTGATTTCAGTGGATGAGACTACAGTAATAAGCAAATCTTTAAATGTTACCCTAAATGGGCTCTTAAAATAGAATGTAGCTTGTAAAGATATAAGGTAACTGCCTGCAAGTTAGTGGCCTTCTACTCTCCAGTGGTGGTGTATAAACCCCTGAAAATTCAAATATAATCCTAAAGGCAGAAAGACTGACATTTAGGGGAAGGGAAAGGATGGATAAAAAGAACAATACTCAACCTACCAGCCTCCAAAGAGAAGTCATGCAATTGTGAATACATGTCAACCAACTGTTATTAATATTCCAGCCAAATCACACTGAAAACAAAAAATCTGGTAAGAGCTGTAGTGGAAAGCCACATTAGCCCACCTTTGAATGGTATATATATATATATATATATACACACACACACAATTCTTATGAAAAGTCTATTTACAAATATGGTAGGCAAAAGACAAACATTTTTCCATAATACACAGTGCTGCTTAAAGAACTGCTTCAGACATCTCCAGAATATTTCAGTATAACATGCATGACATTTTAAACACAACATTTTATTTCAAGTAGTCTTCATATTTAGCCATTAAACTTAGAATTCCAACAAAAATATTTTTCATCTTAAATCAAATGCGAAGATTACAGTAATATTTTTTCTTGCTCGATATAAAAATATCGTTACTAATTGTTTAGCTTGAATTACCAAACTGCAACTACATGCATTACCACAGACCAAATACCATGTAACGGCATCAGTTTTGCCCAAAGATTACACATGATGCCTAAAAAAATATATATCCCAGGTACAAGCCTACTGTATGTACTATGGTCTAGAATTTCCTGGGGATCAATGGGCAACTAACCAATACACAGCCTCTGCATATTATGACTACTGAAACCTTTATAATACAGAAATAAAATTTAAAAGTTTTACCATTCTTCCCGCTGTGCCGTCGCTGCTTCAGAGTGTCGTGGGGAGGAGTTTGAATGGCTAGGGAATTAACAACCGGTACAGCAACCAATCAAAATTCTAGTTTTAGTTTTTGACACTGTTAGGGTTAAAAACTTTAATTCATTTACACTTCAGTTCAACAGTAGGTAACTATAAAGTCAGCTGCTTTGCGATTTGAATTATCAGGGCTAACAGAAAGCCTGCCCCAAACAGGAAGTTATACAATTAATCATTTTGGTGCCTCTGTCCAAAGAACAGAATTCAGCAAACGAAAACCAAAATGTTAAAGATTTTAAGTTTCCAAATATCTAACATCTTCCTTTCTCAAATAAGCTATATACAATTCGAGTTAGATCTGTTTAATTTTTAAAAGTTTGTTTCCCTTCCCACCACCACTCCCCCAAAACCAGCACTATCATCAAACAGCCTGACAAGAATCTGCCTAGGCTGGGTTTAACCCTATATTCCAAAGTGCTTCTCCCCTCCCCACTCTCCCTCCAAATCCTGGGCTCTTTCTCAGTAAAGGGAATCGTGTTTTCTAACACTGAGTTAAAGCGACATCTTACTGTTATATCCATCAACATCTTTCTCTTTACAGTTTAAAAAAAAATTCAGACACACACACACCCCTCCCCATTACAAAAAGGAATGGAAGCGTGAACCCACGATCATCACTCAGTAATCGGAGCTAAGAAAACTCAACCAAGAACCCCGATTTAGTCCCTCCTGCTAACTCCCGTATTATGTTCCCAATCCCAAATGCTGCATTTTAATACACTAAATGCAGATTTAGGTAGTATATACAACTGTTATTTCAATCAGAGGAAGCAAGTTAATACTAAGAAATTTGCACCAAAAAAAAAAAAAGTATCCCATAGCACAATACAGGATTTGTTTCTCTTAAGAGGACCATAGGCCTCCCTTAGTGGGCGGGAAAGAGAAATCAAGACACCAAAATAGGATCCTGGGCACCGGGAAAAAAACGGGACTGGAGGTTGTAAAAAATTAGGTTGCACATAAAAAGAAAGTTACAATCTGTACTAATAGTTGGGGAACCCAATAGCTGAGGGCGCGAAAAGGGTGCGCGGTTAGAATAACTCGGGGGTGGGGGAAGGGTAGACACTAGGCCGGAGATAGGAACAGCTCCAGTCAAGTGCAGGCCCCACCGACTAGGAACTTAACCTGAGCCCGCGGAGCAAAACCAACGTACCAACAAGAAAGTCGCAGCATTTCACCGGAGCTCATTTGGTCTGCACGTCAAAATATAGGGCCTATATGAACATGCCATTGTGCGATAGCGTATGGTAAAGAAAATGAGTAAGTCCTTAGGCAAACTTATTCAAAATCCCAAGAAAACATTCGGCCTGAGACCGACAAGGGAGAGGCAGAAGTGGACAGCCTACGCGTTCCCCAAAACATGCGCTTATAAACAATCGCATCGTTTCAGGATGGTGGAGAAGCACCAAATAAACCTTAGCAATACAAACAGGGAAGCTTTTTGTGTCTGTCTGTGTTTTTATGCCCAAGACTTTAGAATTTGGGAAAAAGAGGGGACAGCATGGAAAGAAAAAAAGGTACCCCTCGACAGGCGGGAAAAAATCCTGGCGGCTAAGTCGGTGGGAGGAGACCCAGGGCGAGGGAGGAAAGGAGGGCGGGCCGAGGAGCAGCATGGTGACGGCTAAAGGTGGAAACGTGTGTGATGGGGGAGGGGGGCGATAACCAGGCAAAGGAAGGAGGAAATGAAGGTCCGGGGAACCCAACATAGAAAAGGGGACACCAGAACAAGAAGGCTACATGGGGGCCCGGAGAACAGGCTGAGAGCGGGAACCAGGCCTAATGGCGGGGGAATGAGGGGGAGGGGGACTAGTTGGGCCTGACTATCCTGGGCTGCCCCTTACTCACCCTTCATCCTCCTCGTTCTTACTGGCGTCAATCTTCGCCCCCTCCGACTCGGCGCTGCCCCCTTCGGTGCCTCCAGACGCGGTTCCGCCCCCGGTCCCGGCTCCGCTTCCCGCCGCCGCCGCTGCCCCCTGTGTCGCCGCCACCATGGCTCCCTCCTGCTCGCCCGCCGAGCCGCCTACCGCTGCCGTTGCCGCTGCCGCCGCCCCGTCCCCGCCGAACTGCTCCTCCGACATAGTGCTAGTGTCTCCGCCGCTGCCGCCGAGACTACACCCGCCGCTGCCGCGAACCGAAACTAGCAGCAAAGTAATCCCCGCCGCTGCCGCGCGCCCGCTCTACCTCGCGAAGCACACAAGACAGGGAAGGCGCGCGCGTGGCTGCAAAGGCTCCTGCGCCTCTCCCTGGCCTGCCCCCTTCGCCTCCCACTCTCGCGCGGCGCACACTCCCGCTCTCTCCCGCTGCACTAAAAAAGAATAAGCACCAGCGGCGGCCGCTCTTGCCTCCTCCTCGCTTTAATGGCGCCGCCGCGGACCACCTAAAATGGCCGACGGAAGAACGGCGCGTCCCGGTCACGTGATGCGAGAGCGCGCCCTTCGCGCGTCCCCCCCACCCCTCTCCCCCTAGGTTTTTTTTTCCCTTTCCTCTTTGGTCCCGCCCTCTCGCTCCCCTTTATACCTTCCTCTCACGCTCGGCGTCGCACAGCCTGTGGGGGCCTTTAAAAGGAACCGGAAGTGTCGTGAGCTAAGACGGTCGCGCGGGGACCATCGAGAACAAGGAGTGCTGTTTCGAAGTAGCGGCTAGAGGGGCCCCCTGCCTCCGCCCCCGCCCTTCCGAGGATTCCTGGAGTCCACTCACCCCTCCCCAACACTCCAGTAGCTGGCTGGAGTAGCAGCATCAGGCCGTGGTGTGGCTGCACCTCCGCGAAGGCGGCAGTTCCCCGTGCAGCTGCGGCGTTCAGGTGGGGGAGGGGAGGCTCACACCCTGCGGCGGCTTAAGCCTGGATGTACGCACTCGAGGAGGGAATTAGCCCTGAGATGTCAGCCCTGTGCCCCTGACTCTGTCCACCCGGACGCCTGCGGAGCGCCAGGCGCCGCAGCGGACCGCGCGCGCACTGATTGCCGCAACTCCTTCCTGCCGTCGCCGCCCGGGACCGGGTGACATTGAGGTTTTCGTCTATCGCCGCTGGGCCGATAGGGCTTCTTTTTAAGATTTGACTTTCCAAGTAAGATTTTTGTTTGCCTGCTTTTCTCCTGAAATTTTTTTTTTTTTTTTTTTGGTCGAAGAAGCAGGTAACTTGCATATCTTAAGGAAAACATCGTTTTTGCTTTGCTTTTGTTGTTTAAAGATCCTAAAAGGTACCGTGATTCCTTTACGTCAATTGGAAAGTGTGTTAAATCAAGGGTTCGCTTAATGTTCTTTAGTCCTACATAGGATATATAAATGTCGTGAGTCATCTTTACGAGCTTTATGAGTTTGTGTTCGGGTTTGGGTTTTTTTGTTGTGTGTGGTTGTTTTGTTTTGTTTTCTTGTAACACCGTTAGGCGTTTCACTAAGGTGTATAAAAAGTAATTTTTATAAAAATTCCCGATGCCTCGGCTGGAGACTGGATTATTCGGGCTTTGGGATTTGCTGCTTCCAGCGGTATCCTTAGAAGAAAATGAAGCTTTTAGGTACTTCGGTAGTCAACAAATAATTATTTGCCTCTTTAGTAAGTGTTCGGGCACGGGGGAGACAAAGACGAGTTTGCAGAATCCAGCAAAAACCTTAAGAGTTTAAGTATTTGGGCCGGGCGCGATGGTTCACGCCCATAATCGCAGCACTTTGGGAGGCCGAGGCAGGCGGATCATGAGGTCAGGAGTTCGAGACAAGCCTGACCAACATGGTGAAACCCACGTCTCTACTAAAATTACAAAAATTAGCCGGGCGTGGTGGCGGGTGCCTTTAATCCCAGGTACTCAGGAGGCTGAGGCAGGAGAATGACTGGAAGCCGGGAGACGGAGCTTGCCATGAGTGGAGATCGCACCATTGCACTCCAGCCTGGGCAACAGAGCGAGACTCCGTCTCAAAAAAAAAAAAAAATTAAATATTTGTTTTTCCACTGTAGTTAAACGAATTTGTATTAATTGGGCACTATCCAAAAATCTCAAAGGAAGATTATAAATAAGTTTTCTTAATCAAATTAGTAGAATTTACATTAAAGAATAATTAAAACTTAAGAATACAGGTCAAATTCTGAAAACGTCCTAAAAATATAATCTTACCAAACTCCTGTAATAGTCATGTAAAGATAATACCAAGAATGTTTATCTTAAAGTGGTAGTGACTCCACATTTGTCTCCACCTGCCAGAATATTAGCAAAGGATAAAGTGGGTATGGTGCTGAAACGTATATTCCTGGTTAGAAACAACTAAGATGATTGACTGAAGGGAAGTCTGTTTAATCTTTCTGGCTTCAGGCGAGGGTAATTATCATTTATTTTGATCTTAAGATATCATTAGACATACCCACCTTTTGGTAATAGTGACTTTTCCAAAACGGTTCATCTTCATTTCCCATGTAGCTTAGGAGCTTCTGGAATTCTTAGAATTTATGTCAAAAATTCCAGACAACCTAGGAATGATTTTAAAGCTAACAACTTTACTATATGCTTTAATGAGGATGTATGATGTCTGTATCACCGATAGCTCTTCGTATTATGGCCAAGATCTCTACATCCAGGATGTGCTCCTGCATCTACGCTATATTCCTCTTGGAACTCACTTAACTTCTGGCAGATGTAGTGACTCACGCCGGTAATCCAGCACTTTGAGAGGCCAGGTCGGAAGGATTGCTTGCCTCCAGGAGTTGGAGATCAGCCTGGGCAACACGGTGAGACTTTGCCTCTACAAAAAGTCAGAAAATTAGCCTGGCGTGGTGGTTCCTGTTGTTCCAGCTACTCCGGAGGCCGAAGTGGGAGGATCACTTGAACCTGGAAGGTGGAGGCTGCAGTGAGAAAAAGGCAGAGTGAGACCCTGTCTCAAAAACAATTGTTACTATTTATGTGAAGTCTTCCTAGGCTTCCTGAGGCAGAATTAATCATCCCTTTTCACAGCCCTTTATCTTTACCTCTGTTATTCTTGTTTTCTACTAGACCATGAGTTCTTAAAAAACAGAGTGTCTTCTATGTATCCCTCCCTCCCTAACACACTGTCTCTCTCACACACACACACATACACACACACACACACACACACAGCAGCAATATATCCACACTATATAATTGCCAGTTGAATTATTGAATGACAAAATACTAGGTATGTCCAACTTGCTAGGCTAAGGGGCTTTCAAGCACACTAGGTGTTCTTCCAGGGACTTGAAAGTCTCCACACCATCTCATTTCATCTCTGGCATTTAAAAAAAAAAAAAACCGCTTTTGGCCAGGTGCTGTGGCTTATTCCTACAATCCCAACACTTTGGTAGGTCAAGGAGGGAGGATTGCTTGAGCCCAGGAATTTGAGACCAGCCTGGGCAACATAGCAAAACCTGTCTCTACAAAAAATTTTAAAAGTCAGTTCCTGCCCACCCGGGGGTGCATTGGGTTGTGTTTAACCCGTTTCTGTTGCCGGGTGTGGTGGCTCATGCCTGTAATCCCAACACTTTGAGAATCCGAGGTGGGTGGATCACTTGAGGCCAGGAGTTCGAGATCAGCCTGGGCAACGTGGTGAAACCCCATCTCTACTGAAGATACAAAAATTAGCTGGGCATGGTGGCGCACACCTGTAATCCCGGCTACTGGGGAGGCTGAGGCAGGAAAATTGCACGAACCCAGGAGGCAGAGGTTGCAGTGAACCGAGATTGCACCACTGCACTCCAGCTATGCAACAGAGTGAAACTTTGTCTCAAAAAAAAAAATTACCTAGGTGTGGTGGCCTGAGCCTGTGGTTCCAGCTGCTCAGGAGGCTGAGGTGGGAAGATTGCTTGAGTCCAAAATTCAAGGCTGCAGTGAGCAGTGTGATCATGCCACTTCACACCAGCCAGGACGACAGAGCAAGAGCCTGTGTCAAAAACAAAAAACAAAAAAAAAATGTTTCTTCAAATGACCTGCTGATTGATGTACGAAATTTCTTGAGAATTAAATAAAACTTTTGATTAACACATTCATAGGTAACAATTAATTGTTTAAGTGGCTGGAGATGCTGTATTGGACTTGCCCCAAACGCTAGAAGGGAGCAATATCCCCTGTCAATGTACAGGGCATGAACTGTTCCACTGCTTCAGGAGGTTCCCAGTGTGTTTCAGATAACACACTAAAATGCGAGATCATCATTGAATTTAGCCTTCGTAAAGCAATTATTCTCTGCAGCAAAAACTATAGTTCTTCTAAAAGGCCAAAAATGAAGTCCATTTGAGAATTAAACTGGAATCACTTTTACCTAGAACAAGATGCGTACACCTAAGCCAAGGAAATCGCAGTTTTCATCTGCTAGATGCACTCTACAAACGCAGCAGAAGGTTTCCCTATGTTCAAATTTTTAAAGTATTAGTAGGATATGTATGCCAGTTGGCAACCTGGAATAAACAATGTGGAAGAAACAGCCAAAGAACCCATTTTTTAATACAAGGTACACATACTTGAGCTGCTTCTACAACCATGTTAAACAGCCTATAACCTATCTGGACCTATTTGCAGAACACCTTCAGTGGGATTTAAGCGTTTTGTTGGAGAGTTAGTTTGTGATTTTACGTGAAGTGACCAATTGCCCATGCAGTGAACATTCTCTGTCATCTCCCTTGGTTATCAGGAAGCTTCACTTTATTCAATAAATAAAAGCCCTATCAACTCTGAGAAGTCAGGTTTTACTTCAGCAGTAAAGTGTAATACTGTAGAGTCAGTTCTGCTTACTCATGAGGATGTCAATAGTTTGCTTTTAGATATGGTTTTTTAAAACCTAGCTAAAAGAATTCAGACAAAGCTGATCACATGCCTGTAGTCCCAGCTACTCAGAAGGCTGAGGGAGGAGATTGCTTTGAACCCAGTAGTTCAAGCCCAGCCTGGGCAATAGAGTGAGACCCCCATCTCTTTAAAAAAGAAAAAAGAATCAAATAATAAGGAAATACACTGCTCTCACTCCAGACCTACATATCCAACTGCCTATTTGACATCCCCACTTGAATGTTCACAGGCATCTCAAACTTTAGATGTTGAAAACTGAACTCTGCTTTCCCTACAAACCTGCTTACCTCTTCTCAGTAAATGACGTCTCCACCCACCCATATGTTCCTGCCAAAATCCAGGGAATCATCTTTGATATCACCCCTCCTTCACCCCCCACATCCAATCAATCACCAACTCCTCCCACCTCCAAAATATATCTTGATTCATCTAAATGCTTCCTAGAACATAAATACTGGGGTAATTTCTAGATAGCTATTCACATTCAACCATGCAACACATTAATGACATGTACATTTCTAGTGCTGGGAAATATAAATGATCAAAATAGGCAAGGTCTCTGGCCTCATGGAGCTGACATTCTAGTGGCAGAGACAAAGGACAGACAAAATAGATATGTAATGTAATTTTAGGAAGTGATAAGAAAAAAAATGCGAGACACAGGGTATGTGCTATAGGGCAGTCAGAGGAAACTCTTCAAAGAAATAACTTTTCAAGTAGCACCCTGAAGAAAGTAAGAGAGAAAGCCGTATACTTAACTTAGGGAAGACTTTACAAGGCAAAGGGTACACCTGAGGCAGGAGTGTGATTTGTGCTTGCAATGAAAAATGGAGTCCAGTGTGGCTAAAGTGAAGGAAAACAAGTATAATAGATCATACCTGAGAGGTATCCAGTAATGAGGTTACTCAGGGTCTTGTAAACTGGTTAGCACTCTACTTTTATTATCAAAGTCATGAGAAACAATGGAAGGGTTTTGAGCAGATGAAGAACATGACCTGACTTTAAGTGGAAGATTATGGATGCTGTGTGGACAGTGGACTGTGGGAGGACATCAGGGAGATGAGTTAAAAGGGCACTGTCATGAATGGACTTTTTTTTTTTTTTTTTTTTTTTTTTTGAGATAGGATCTCACTCTGTTGCCCAGGCTAGAGTACAGTGGCACAGTCATGACTAACTGCAGCCTTAACCTCCTGGGCTCAAGTGATCCTCCCACCCTCAGCCTCACAAGTAGTTGGGACCACAGGTGTGCACCACCACACCTGGCTAATTTTTGTATTTTTTGTAGAGGTGGGGTTTCGCCATGTTGCCCAACCTGGTCTTGAACTCCTGAGCTCAGGTAATCTGCCTGCCTCAGCCTCCCAAAGTGCTGGGATTACAAGCGTGAGCCACTGTGCCAGGCCATGAATTGACTATTTTTTTAGCCTTTCTTGGTTAATTTCTTCTGAGAAGACAAATCTACAAAGAGGGTGTTATTTACACGTGGTCATGTGACTGTTTTTCCTAGAAGGATATTTTTCTACAAAGAAAAATCATGCTCTAATGACAATAAGGGATCATTCAAAATTAAATAAGACTTGAATTAATATATATTGATCATATTTCCAGTAAAAACTCAGACTAGTGTTTTCATCCAATGCAATATTTTTTGCTTCATTTTCTACCCCTTTCTGAAGTTCTGGAATGAGATTTTGATTCGCTACCGCAGGTAGGGTTAGTTCATAATGTCACAGGATCCTTTGGGTGTTGCTTTGCCAGCTGGAAACCTCTGCAGTTGGTGGTTTAGCCTCTGCTACAGTTTTGCTCACGCCCTCTGGGCATGAGCTTGGCCCAGCAGGCTGCACTCCACTTGCACTACCAGCCCAGATCTCATGCCTGCCAAGGGTGAGCCAGGCACGGAGCAGCAAGGGGTGTGTGAGTGAGTGATGCAGTCCGGCCACTGTGTACAGTCAGGCACACCGGCTGCTACAGCAAGGTCGGCAGCTCCAGGCACCAGCACAGGCACTGGCTCCATGCGAGGCTGCAGCTGGACAAGACGTACTGCAGGTGGTTTCCACTGCAGGCATCAGCGTCTGGACAAGGGCAACACAGTGGCACCTGAAAGCTCAAAGACACCAGGAACCACAGAACCCCAAAGGGGGTGTTACAGCATGTCACAGCCCTAGCCTAGAACCCTGAGGTCTGGGCTCCCAGAAGGGTCACAGCTCTTCTCTCTTGTCACCCCCAGTGCGGAGAGTGGGGGGACATATTTCAGCCCATTTGTGTTACAGCTCTTTCAGTCCTGCCACCCCGCTCCAGCCTGCAGCTCCTGGACTGGCCCAGCCCCACCACTGCTTACCATTGTGTGGGGCAGCTGCCCAGTGCCAGCAGAAGGCAGGAAGGCTATAGAGTTACAGCTCTGACTTGGGGAATCATGAGGTCTGGGCCCCCAGAAGGGTTGTCACTCTTCACTACCACAGTCTGGGAGAGTGTCACTGCCCGCAGCTCGGTGAGCCAACCAGAAAAGTGTTATAGCCCCTTTAGCTCCCACCCGCAGCCACAGCTCCTTCCACTCCCACCATTTGGCAGGTCCCAAGTTCTTGTCCTACATGCAGGAAGAATGAGGTTATGCGGGCAACTGGAGGGTAAGCAAGGCGGAGAAGAGCTTTATTGGGAGATCAAACAGCTCTCAGTGGAGAGGAGACCTGAAGTGGGTATCTCCTATCCGCAGGCAGGCAGTCCTGACCAGGGTCTGAGTATAACTGAGTCCAGGGTTTTTATGGGCTCAGAATGGAGTAAATGCATGCTGATTGGTCCATGGGCAGGAGGAAGTGCATGCTGACTGGTCCCTGGGCAGGCCTGGAAAAAGGTGCCTGGCCTATCCAGCCACTTTTAAGGTTCTTTTAGCTGCTAAGTTTATAATTGTCCCACTTCGTTTGCAGGAGTTGCAGTTCAAGAGAATAATTATTGAAAGAGAATACAGAAGAGTCAGGGTTTTCAGATTAAGGTTCAATTTAGAAATATTGAAAACCTAAGAACATGTTTGGGAAAGTGTCTGCCCTGTGGCTCTTTGGGGCCTTTTCCTTTGTTGCAGTGGCTCTCAGTTATTTGATATTCCTTACTCCATAAGAGCTGCCTCCAAATAATCGCTTTCTCATGCCAGGGCTGAGAGTTCTCAGGCTCTCAGACTCAGTACAATTGCTTAAAAGTCACACTTCAAATATAGTAACACATAATTAGATAGTACCTCTGTAGGAGGGGTTTTTCTGTTTAATTTCTATCCTTGATGTTTTGGCTACTGTAGTAGACATTTGCTACTTGGGGCTCCCCAGCATCAATTTTTCCTTGTCTTAATAATAAATAGCATAGGAGAAACAAGTGGAGCAAGAGGAGGGAATAAAGAACAGCAAGCCAGCTCATCAGAATGAACTCATCACCACTGGGAGCATGCACAGCCCCTAAGTCAGCCAGTCACATTTGAAGAACTTCCCTTTGATTTTTTGTTTGTTTGTTTGTTTGTTTTTGTTTTTTTTGAGAAAGAGTCTTGCTTTGTCACCCAGGGTGGAGTGCAGTGGTGCAATTTCAGCTCACTGCAACCTCCACCTCCTGGGTTCAAGCGATTCTCATGCCTCAGTGTCCTGAGTAGCTGGAATTACAGATGTGGACCACCACACCTGGCTAATTTTTGTATTTTTAGTAGAGGCAGGGTTTTGCCATGTTGGTCAGGCTGATCTCTAACACCTGGCCTCAAGTGATCCACCCACCTCAGCCTCCCAAAGTGCTGGGATTACAGATCTGAACCACTGTGCCCAGCGCCCTTTGATTTTATTTATTTATTTATTTATTTTAGATGGAGTGTCGCTCTGTTGCCCAGACTGGAGTACAGTGGCCCAATCTCAGCTCACTGCAACCTCCACCTCCCGGGTTCAAGCAATTTTCCTTCCTCAGCCTCCTGAGTAGCTGGGATTACAGGCGCCCACCACTATGCCTGGCTAATTTTTGTATTTTTAGTAGAGACAGGGTTCCACCATGTTGACCAGGCTGGTCTCAAACTCCTGACCTAGTGATCTGCTGGTCTTGGCCTCCCAAAGTGCTGGGATTACAGGCGTGAGCCACCACACCCGGCCCCCTTTTGATATTTGAGTGAAGAAATACTCTCCTATTGGTCATAAACAGAGCATGTAGCTAAGGGAACCAGCTACTAGCAGCCATTTCACAACAGAAAAA